CTTGTTACTATCGTATATCGTCGTTTTTCTTATTAATTTTCAATTCTCAACAAATATATAACGTTAATCAAATATTTTCTAAATGGCAGCAAGAACTGGTAAAACTCGTTGTATTACATGCGATCAAGAGAAAACGGCTGTTACATGTGAAGGTTGTTTACAATTATTTTGTTATGATCATTTAACAGAACATCGGCAAGAATTAAATAAACAATTACATCATATTGCACAAAATTGTGATCATTTTCGTCAAATACTTAATGATCAAACAACAAATTCTCAAAAAGATTCATTTATAAAACAAATCGATCAATGGGAGAAAGAGTCAATTCGATATATTCATCAAACAGCAAATGAATGTCGACAAACATTAATTCAACATACAATTAAAAATATCCATCAAATTGAAATTAATTTAGCTAAATTAACTGATGAAATAAGAGAAATTCGTCAAGAAGATGATTTTAATGAAATTAATTTAAATCAATTTAATGAAAAACTACATCAGTTACAAGAACAACTTGAACAACCAACTGATATATCAATTCAACAAGAAGAAACATCATTTATCGATAGAATTCGTGTTCTTGTATCATCGGGTAAGTTATTGACAGTAAAATTTTGCATCTGATAGGTAGAACTGTTAAGAGAACATCGCATATTTAATTAATATAATTCTGTCGTTTAAACTTCAGTAAATGAAGAAGAATGAATTCCTATTGATTGAGAATATTCGAATATGAGTACGAAAAAAGGGTGTGAGTATGTTGTTTACTCCTTGCACCGATGCCGACATCCTTCAATAATTGATTCAATCAGAATAATAACGTTAATTTCTTACAATTATATAAACTACTAAATAGTCAAGTACATAGTTCGATTTCAATATAAGATTACCAAAACGTAATATTTTCTAGTCATAGCTTTGCATCTCATATGAAAGAAATCATACCTATAGACTATTTCATCAAATTAGTTTCATAATCATAATAGAACAATGAATTTTTGTCTTTATTGAACCTAATAACAATGAATTATTCTATTAGGAAAATTTACATCTGCGAAGCATATTCATAGTAATTCGAAATGGCAACAAGATGGTTTAACACTTGCTGGAGGAAATGGTGAAGGTAATCAATTAAATCAACTTTATTATCCTGATGGAATTTGTGTTGATGATGAAGAACGAAGAATATTTGTAGCAGATTCATCAAATCATCGTATTGTTGAATGGAAATTTGGTGCTAGTAATGGTAAAGTTGTTGCTGGTGGAAATGGCTGGGGTAATGGTTTAGATCAATTGAATTGTCCAACAGATGTAATTCTTGATAAAAATAATGATTCACTTATTATTTGTGATTATGGAAATCGACGCGTGATACGATGGTCATGTTTAAATTGGAGAAATCAACAAACAATTATTTCCGATATTGATTGTTCACAATTAACAATCGATAATAATGGAGATCTTTATGTATCAGATTATGAAAAACATGAAGTTCGACGATGGAAACAAGGAGATAAAAATGGAACAATTGTTGCAGGTGGAAATGGAAAAGGAGATTATCTTAATCAATTGAATTATCCAACATTTATTTTTATTGATCAAGAATATTCTGTTTATGTATCCGATTCAGGTAACGATCGTGTAATGAAATGGGAAAAAGATGCTAAAGAAGGTATTATTGTTGCTGGTGGACAAGGTCAAGGAAATACACTTACACGATTATCAAATCCTCAAGGAGTTTCTGTTGATCTTATGGGCAATGTTTATGTTGCTGACTCATGGAATCATAGAATTATGCGTTGGCAAAAAGGATGTCGTGAAGGTAGTATTATTGTTGGTGGTAACGGATATGGCCAACAATTAAATCAATTTGCTTATCCTCATGGTTTAACATTTGATCAACAAGGTAATCTTTATGTTATTGATTGTGATAATCATCGATTACAAAAATTTGATGTTAATATTTAAGTAAACTTGTTTTCTTTTATATAGTTCAATTGTGTTTTATTTAATAGTTATATTTTTGTCATATTGTTTTCGTTTTAGTTTTTATGATGAAATAAATTTTTGAAAAAAGAATAAATGAATAAAATAATTTTCACATTGTTTATTGATATATACTTCCATTTGAAAAATCTGTTTACAGTAAAATATTTGTCTCATTCAAAAAGTACCAAGTAATTTTATTTTCAATTTCGTATAAAAACATACATCTCAAGAGCAAGACAAATAAATAATGTACATTGACAATGAATAAAACAAATGATATTATTGTTTTTACATATACAATTGTTGTCAATATGAAGATAGACTATATAAATAAATCAGTTCCAACAAAAAAAGACAAGGTTATATAATTGTGTTATTTTCTCATTATTTGTCTGTCTGTTTTTATTCAATAAATAAGTTTAATAGATTGACAATTAGTTCTAGAAGTATACATCGATTTTATATTAATGAGCTTTGTTTTTCTTTGATTTTCTATGTCTATTTTAATCAACTGGAGCTCTCGACGATGCGCATACACTGTTATGCAAACTTAGTTTAAGACTGTTCCTTACGTTACTCGAGCGATTGTTCTAGTTATTCGCATATGCAGTGAGATCGATTTTACTCGAAAAATGACTCATAATTCAAATGTGACCTGCGTGTGAATTGATCGACTTTCAGCCTCGTATAGGTGGAATCAGTATTTAACAACGCGATCATACGAAGTTGCATAAATGCTTCCAAACAAGTAAGGTTTTATCTCTTGTAAACTCGACGAGAGAGAGAGCGAAACTTTTAGTAATTACTGCATTTATAGAGTACAGCATCTGTATCATATACCAACATAATAATTGTTAAAGAAGCTTTTTTTCCATCAGAATTTTTCATAAAATTTAAGTCGCAACAATCAGTTTCTATTGGAGAACTATTGCGAAGTTCTTCTTCTCGTTTTTTTCAACTATTCGATATTTTTTTGCTCGTTCCATAATCTTCGATAGAATACACGATATTTGTTTCCAAGACCTACCGTACAAACATTACTATTCATAAAGAAAAAAAAAAATCGAAATTCAAAGGGTTAAATAATTTCATATAATGAATATAGAAATAATAACATTAATTTTTAAAATTTCATCTCTATCAATCTTTATTAATTATCGCGTTTTTTTTTAAATCAACTGCTAGATATATAGAACTTTTTGAAAGATAAATAATAATAAAATCAAGCAATAAAATAACTTTTTCTCATATAAAAGATAAAATCTCATAGAAGAGTTTTTTTTTAAAGAATACTGATCACACCGTATATAATTATCATTCATTAATAATAATACTGGCTCGTTTCACCGGTGATAATAAATAAAATATATTTTGTATGACTATTAAATTCTTATTGTTATTCTTCTTCTTCATGTAATATATCGACTAGACGACGTCGTGTTCGTAACTAAAAATATTTTTAATTTATTTTATGTATTTTGTTTTTAAAAAAATATACTTTTTGAAATTGACAATCGGAAAATAAATCATGTAGAAAACGTTGAGCACCAATTCGAACACAACTTAATGTTAATATATAACATATTTCAGAATATAAACATATATTATCAAAAATTTGTGGATCACTTTCTTTTAAACTAAAATTAATAAAAAGTTTAATTTAGAAAAAAACAAACAAACAAATTATTTCAACCTTAATAATTGTTTTTCAATTTCGTCTGTATGAATACCAACAATAAGGCGACTTGATAATGCTTTTATATTAATCAAATCTTTTTCCATTACTACTCTTGGATCTTCATGTGATGTATTATTACACATCATACAAATATTTACTGATTGTACTGATGTTGTTTGATGTACTGAAGGTGTTAATGTTGTAGGTATGACTTGATCTTGTAATAAATTTGGTGGTGGTGGACTTGTTGTTGGTGCAAATTCTTTTTTTTTGAAAATTAATAGAAATATTTATAAGAAATTTAATAAGAAATAATAACCTCCAGAACTATTTGATGCATTCGTAGTACTACGTGTACGTATTTGATCAGCATTTGTATTAGCACGTGAACGGGCACGAACAAGATCAGACCAAGTTTCAAAGTTCAAATTATAGCCATCGGATATCTATACGAAATTATACTCAAATAAATAAATATGTTAAGTAATCCGGAGAACAAAACCCGGAAAAGAAATAGACCACCTCAAAAGGTCTTGTAGTGTGGGTGCGAGTGTTAGTGTAGAAGAAAAGTACTTCATACCTATACATTCACACCTACACTCACCCACATAATATCCACACTCTGAATCCCCGCTGCTGCTACAACGACGACATCGATCCTGCCGAGCTTCTCGGTGGACTCTCACTTCTGGTGGCTTCGAAGAAATAAGCTTATCAGATTCTGTCTAATATGCTCCCGCCTTTTACTTATTGTGTCTCCTATGATTAATAAGCATCAAGTAAAATATTTCCGGATTTCTTGGCAACGCCAAATAGACTGATCATGAATTTTATTTAGTTTAAATTCTTACCTCAACAACTTGTCGGATATCGACTGGTACAGCCAAACCACGATAAATTGTATGTCCATCTTCATCGGCATCATCTAAATCACGTTGTTCCAAAGAAAATTTCCTAGAATAAAATAAAGCTAATTATTTTTAAGACCAAAAAAAAATAATATTTTACCCATCATCTGTTGTAAATTTATCTACTTGTTGATTACTTATACTATGTGCTTCATACATTTTCTTATAAAATTTCGATATATATGTATGAAATGGTGATAAAAAATCATCTTGTTTACTAATCATTGGTACATTATCATGATCAAAATAATTCGTATTCGTATTATTACTATTAGTTATATATGTATAAGTCGCATGACTTATTTCTTGTATACGTCTTGCATATTCATAACCAACTGCATCAGGTTTTAAAAGAAAATTACAACGTAATAAACGTGATCGATAAAGTTCTTCAGTTGCTGATGGTTCTGATCTTCCACCATTATTAGCTGTTGGAGCACGTAAAGCTTGAATAACTTCAGGAACTTTTTGTAATTGTTTTGATTGACGTATCGCATTTGATTGATGCGCTGATTTTGTTCGTGGACGGAGACGATCTAATGGTAAACTATCAGTTACTGTTTGACCTATTGTTGATGATGGTGGATTATTATATGGATGATTACCAAACGATGACGAACGAGCACCTTCAATATCAGAAAATGATCCTGTTCTTCCACTAGTTATTTGAGAATCATGATAAATTGATAGATTTGCTAATTCTTTTGATATACTAGATGAACGACGAATAGGAACAGTAATAAGAACAGGACCATCACTACCAGGTTGAAGACCATCTGGAAATGTTACTGTAGCAGTACAATTTGTTTGTAATGTTGATCCATTTTCTTCAGCTATAACAACATGTCGAACATCCGTTTTATCGGTTGAATTTAAACAAATTGATGAAGGCATAGTAAATGATCGTTTTGATTTAACTTCAGGCACGACAGAATCTTGTAATGGATTAGATCGATGTCGTCCGTATACATCAGCTGTTGATGGTTCATTAGATATGACACTAGTTTGATGAGAAATATTTTTCGATGCTGTTGTTGATGATGATGATGTTGTTGTACCAGTTTTAGTTAAACGTCTTTCAGCACATTGATAACTATCTGTATTTGCTATTGATGATGGTATAGAATGAGCACGTACACGATATGTTTCCCAACCAAAATCTTTCAATGACATTGCACCATCAGGAGTTTGAGCTATTAAACTAAGACCATAGAAAGCCGTACTAAAATATAAAAAATTAATTTTGAAAATATTATAAATATAAATTTACCCTCGAACAGATAAATTTTGACATTCTTCAGCAAATCTTAAATAATCCGCTAATAAATCTTTTTTCATAAACCAATCAAAACCATTTTCAGTACTAGCTGTTTGTGCCAGTGCCCATAATGCTTCTTTAATGTTTCTTGCTTCATTTAAATTAATACAATTTGTTGGATGTTGTTTTAAATCATGTGCATATTGTTCTAAACGTGATTCTTTACGTAATAATATATATCCATCATAATGTAAACATAATTGTCTATAGATATGTGTTGATACATGTATAGTAATTTTTTTTCTTGCAAATCTTGATCCTCCTGATGATGTTTTTCGTCGTTCAAAATAATCATCTGTTAATAGAGCTCCACCTGAATAAGCACCAAATAATCTTGTTTCCATAAATATAACATATTGACTATTAAATGTTCTATCCCAATAACGAAGTTCTGCACGTACTTTTGCTAGATGTGTAGTATCCGCACTTAATTGATTAAATGGTATAGAACATAAACGTGCAGAAATTAAATGATATATATCATTTAAATATGAGCTTTTAGTTTTTAAAGCAGTTAATGCATGCCATTGCTTATGAAATATATTAGTTAATCTCTAATTAAACAAAAGAAAAGTTTTAGATTAAAATCAAAATAATCACTTTACTTTATCTTCTAAAGCTTCATCAATAATTGAAACAGTTTCAAGAACAACGGTTTGATTTGTATCATGTAACTGAGAACATAAAAGATCTACACCCCAAGTACCGAATGCAACTGGATTACAACGAAGAATAACACGTAGAAGACTAGTACAATATAAACGAAGTGCCTAGAAAAATATATTACAATTTCAATAATGAATAAGATGTCATTTTCAGTTTGATTTACTTACCATACAAGGTGTTTTAAGTGCTTGTACAAGAAAATGCCGACATGAACCATCGTAATAATAATTAAATGATGATAATGCAACAATAGCTGACGTTGCAAAACAATCATCCATTCTTAACATTTCCAAAAGACTGAAGAAAATTTTGTTGAATATAAAAGATCAATTTAAAATACAAAAAAATTTACCGAACGAATATTTCACTTTCAGTTAAAGCTTCTACACCAAATGCTGTTTTACTTAAACGACCAAGAAATAGATAATAATAAACACTATTTTTTGATAATAAATCATGTTCAGTTATAATAGCACGTCCGATATCTTCTGTCATAGCTAAAATTGACTATTAATTCAAATATTCAAAAAACAATTAGAGTTTTATTTTTTAAAGAAAAATTTCTTTACTTGTTTTAATGCATCATTAATACTTGTTAAAAGTGTTCGAGCAATATTGCTTGCAATATACTATAAAGTAAAAGAAAGATTTTCTTTATCGAAAAATAATTTCTTTATTATTTTATACTTTTATATGATTCGATTGTATTCGAGATGGATAAACAAGAAGATCAGAAAATGCTATTAAACTTCGGCAAGTAACATTGGATAGAGAATCAGTTAATTGAATACTACTAAAACCATCTTTGTTTTCAGGTTTGAAAAAATCAAATAGTTTATCAAGAAACCTAAATAAATCAACATATTGTTAAAAATTGCTAAAATTCAATACTGCAAAATTCTCGAGCGTGGGTGTGGGTGTGATAGGATAGAATACTCATAGTCGCACCCACACCCACACCCTCTAGTTTACATAATTATATGTAGATCTTATTCTATCTTTCAGAGGTATGCGTGTAGAAAATTGACTTTTGCACTTCACTGTAAATACTAAATAACTAACCGTTCATAAAGATCACCTTGGGTTTGATTTGCCAATTTAGAAAAATCCTATAAGATGAAGAATTGTAGGAAAGTTTCTTAAGTAATTTAGTATTACTTTTAGTAAGGCTAATATAAGATCCCAATTCCATTTCTGATAGATATTTGTTTGTAATGTATTTGTATCACGAATTAAATTATCAATTCTTTCTGTAGCTAACTAAAAATACAAATAAAATCGATTATTTATTTTGATTTTAAATCAATTTCTGTAAACAATAGGAGATAGAAAGCCAAAGATTGTTCATTTATATGCATTTTTCAAATATCAAATAGTTAATATTCAAAACTCGTGTGCATATTAATTCAATCCAAAACACACAAAAAACACACTTTACTATTCGAAATTGATTGTTTCACTAAATTTATATTGAAAATAACCATTAGAAGGTAGATATATAAGGATCTATATAAGCAAATATATAGGAATAACAAAATCAGAAAAGAAAAAGTAATATTCATCGATATTATTTCCAGATTCATTTTTTAATTAAATACTATCACAAATATGAAGATGGATGTATTTTTTGTAAGATAAGAATCTGGAAAGAATATCGATTAGTGTAATTTTATGAAAAATTTATTAACAATTATTTTTTATAAAGAACTTACAGGATCATCCGAAGCTACCATTGATTTTCTTCGAGTAGTATCTGTAATAACATGTTGTGCTATTGTAAAATAATCATTTAAATGTTGAGAATGATAAATTAATTGTGCTAATTGAAATGAATGTGTGTAACGTGTACGTTTATTAAATTCAAAAAATGCATTTATATGAAGCATAGCTTCTTTAGCAAAACTAAAGAAAAAAGAAATTATTTTATTTTCAAATTCATTATAATATATATACCTTCGTTTAACACTATTATCATCAGCAATAGCAATGTCCATAAGAAGAGGTAATAAAAGAAAACTTTGTTCTTCGGGTAGATGTTCATTACACTAAAATATTAAAACAAAAAAATATGATAGATGCATTAAAAAATGATTTTATGTGTAGCGAATATTTTAAGATTCAAAATTCCGTTTTATTTAGTAATTATGTTTACTAGTAGAGTCGAACAAGATTAAATCTCAGTATTATAAATCTTGTATTACTTAAATGGATACTAATCGAATAATAAGAGCATTCAGTGTTTTATCCAGCGAATGGGCGCCGCCCACCCTAAACTTCGGTCTACCCACTCGAAAAAATTCAGTAGCTGCATATTTTGAGATACCCTAGATGGACGCTGGATGAATGTTGCCCATCCTAAATTTCGATTCACTCATTCGAAAAACGAAAGCTGGATGAAACACTGAGAGCATTTAACTAATCGATTATCAACTTAAGTACTTTTGGAGCCTTCCTATATAGAGTAGTACAATATGAAGTATTATGTTCTGTTAGTACTCCATCGGAATCTCACACTGTCGATAAATAAATATATCTATAGTTCTTTATTCAATAATTATACATTTCATTTCTAAATCTTATACATGATCTACAGATAGTTATTTATCAAAATATTTTCTTTGAGACCTACCAGCCAAATAAAATTTGCTAAAAGAAGTGTAGCACGAATAGATAATATTGTATTATCACTTGATGCGATTTCCGTAATAGCCTAAACAATCAAAAGTAAATAAATATCAAGAATTAAATTTTCGAAATAATTACCTCAAGAAAACCAGCATCAATAAAAGTCAAAAGCATTAATGCCATATGACTATCAAGTAAATTGGGTCTATAATATATTTAACAAATATTATAATCAGTAGCAGATGTATTTTTATTTCAAATGAAATATAAAATTCACCTTGTAGATGATATACGTGGTAATTTAGCAGCACCTTCACTAGCCACATAAGTATAACCTTCTTCTACTGTCGTTAAATTCCATATTGGATCTATATAAAAACTTCAATTAAGAAATATAATCGAATTTAATTTACATGTTGATTTAAGTGCAGCTTCATAACTATCACAAGGAGCTGGAGTATCAAGATTAAGTAAATCATAAAGTAGATCAAGAATTGACATCTAAATATATATTCAATTAAAAAATAAATTCAAATATTTTACATACTTTCATCGGTTCAGATTGCACAATTAAACAATTAACAAGTAAACGAATCGACGAATTTCTTGATTGACAAAATGCAGTGAAACCTAGAATAGAATTTCATTGATTTACATATAACTATTAACTGTAAATCATTTTAATTACCTATCCAACTATGTAAAATTGTTAGCAATGCTACTGTACATGATCTAAGTGTTCGAATTTTATCAGTTCCTTTAATTGCTAAATTATCGTATCTATTCAGTAAAATAAAATATCATTAGAATATTCCTATTGTATTATATTTTCTCATACGCTGCTGGTGTCATTCCACGACGATCAGTTGATTTCATATTTCCTTTTTCACATAAAGGAAAAACGGCTACCAATTGCTACAAAAAACAATATTCATAAATAAGTTAAACATAGCTGAAAGTATTAGTATCGATTAATAAAAGAAGTTTCAATCTTTTTCAAAACATTTTTAGTAGTTTTTAACTATAGAAGTACTGTTCACACTTGCTTCACAAAAAAATCAAACAGACATTGGAAATTAGTTTGTCTTACGCAAAAGTTATTATTACTTAACAAATGTGTAACATCATTATTGATTAAATTCATCGATACCATAGAAAATATAGTACCTGTGATTAAAATACAAAGAGGAAAGTTTTATGCGATATCAAAAAGATTATTCCTATACATTTTGTTAGAATTAAATTTACTGATAAAACAATTTTAAGTAAATTAGAAGAAATGAAACTGCTTTTCAAAATCCAGACTAAGGGGTAAACAACAGAGACGTCACGCCTGAAGTCTCATGAAATTTTCTGAATTTCTATAGATACATTTATTTCACGGGGAGACGAGAGAGGAACAACGGAGACTTCATGCATGAAGTCTTGGAAGTCTTTTGAAGTCTTCTGAAGTCTTCAGAATCTTGAAGTCCTGAAGTCCACTGTTACTGCCTTGACCCAGACCTATTGCAAATCCTAAGCTTCTCAAACAGGGAAAAAGCGGCTTCTGATGCGTTCGTAAATAACATGTAAGGGAAATCTGCCAGCGTGATTTTTTCAAGAAGCCCCTTCTCCAAGGGTTTGATCAAAGGTTTTGAAGATGCCAAAAATCTGACTTCTGATGATTGACCTTTGATTCCACAATAGATTTTATATAAACAGGATCCGCTTTTTCTCACGGATTTATAAGGCAGTCCTAAATATGACTGTTTTTTTTTCTCTATATTTTTAGTTATAGTAAAAAAATTATTTTGTACCTTCTGGAAATTTAAACATTTCACTATTATACTATTTCCAGGTCATAATAAAAAATCTTTCTTTAATATTCTTTTGAAAATTGAAATCCGAACTTAATATATTCCCATAATAGAATATTCAATTACTCAAAGATAAGAAAAAAAATCTATATTTACACTAAACATATTTCTAATTAATTCATGTCGTCCACGCATTCCTTCGTCAACAAAAACTAATGATGGACCGTTTGCATCAACTGAATCAACAATAGTTGGTTCACTATTATCATTAATTGTAAAACGATCAATAGCATGTAATAATGAATAAATAACACTTTCAACAAGTTCATCTTGTTCAAAATCAACAATAAATTTTAACATTATATTTATAACTTGACATTCTTTTAATATATGTGGATTATGAATAGCTAGAAATAGAAAACTTTTCTTTTGCTTTTTCCTTCCTTCAAGAATAAATTTCTATTACCAATTTCACATAATAATTCTAAACATAATTTAACCATTGGATCAGAATTATTCATTGTAGATGTATTTGTTGGTAGATAACTTGATGAAACAATAGTACCAAGAATAAAAACAAATGATTGTGGAATTTGAAATGGATGTAATTGAAGAAAACGACGAATAAATTTATAGGATTCTAAACGTTCACGTCCAATATCAAGACCAGTTGTTAACGATCTTTATTTGAAAAATAATTTATCTTATATATTAATAGGAGAAAACAAATCCTTACCGACAGATAAGATAATCTAAACGATATTCAAGAAATTTGTCTAATATAGTCTCACGATGAATTGAATAACGAAGAGCACGAATTGATGCAGTTCGAACACGTTCAATATCACTCAAAAGAAGAATTTGTAATCTAAAATAAATAATAATAAATTCGATTTTCTCATTTATATCGACACATACCCAAATATAATTGTTTCATCATCATTGTCTAAATTTGATGATGTAGCTACATAACGTGTTATTTCATTGAGTAAATTACTAAGAGGTTTTTTTGGTAAATCATATGGCGATGATGGAATTGATGTAGCAACAATTTGATTGTATAAATTTGTAAATACTAATGACATTTGAATTAAAATCTTTGAACCAATTTAAATAAAGATTATTTCATTACACATTATTTTTGTATTATAATTAATCTAGAAAATAATAAATTTTGATAGAATATAGTTTGTTTTTATAGATAATTCTCTAATCTAACGATTGTAATTAATATATTTTGATAAATGAAAAATATTATCTTGTTATTTATATCAACAAAATGTCAATATATCCATCATATTTTTCGCATTTGGATATATGACCTTTAATACCATATGCGATGTACACGTGACTCAATAATGATGATGATGATGATAATAAACATCAATCTAGTTAAGGATGTATAAAATAATTTGATAGATTAAATCTAATAAATAAAGTTCATCTATTTCAGTTATTTTCAAATGAATATAGACGTGTTTAAATGAGATAAATATATAAAATTATAAACGACGTAGAAAAGTCATCAGTTTCTAGATTAACAATGAGTCAAATTTACTTAGTAAATAAGACTTTTTTCTCTTATCTATATTTGTTAATATATCCTACTCACTAAGAAAAAAAAAGTTAAAAGATTTATTAAATATTCTATTTTTAGTTTTAATTAAGTAAAAGATATAATTGATTAAATCTACGCTTTTGGGAATTCTCAAATATAGATACTAGAAATAGCATGTCTATATTTATCTAAAACTTTTAAGATCACTTTTC